AATGCCCTCCTCAGCAGAAGCCATCCATTGCAGACATGTTTGCGCTTTACCCTTCCAGGTACATACAAGAAAAAAGTGAAATCCCTGGTCTGGGTAAGTTAGAGCTCAGAGATGGATTGCATCAGCACCTCAGTTGTCATGAATGGTGCCGAATGTTGGTGAACAGCCCTACTCCTGAGCTCACATGAAAGTGACTGACAGACACAGAGAGACGGAACACCAATTTTTACAACCATGAGAAGAGGTTGCTGATTAGTGAGGTCATCATTGGCATGGACTTACAGCTAGAACAGTTAACTGTCAATCTTAATTCTCAGAGCAAGCACATAGATTCTCATTGATTAGGGTGTTGTCATGGCAATGCAGAGACTGGCAGTCTCCATGGCCCATTTTTTCATGAGAGGTGCAATGCATATACAAATTCCTTTTGCCTACATACAACAGGTTCCTGTATATTAAAATATAGCTTCTAGCAGCTGCAAATGCATTACATTGCAAGCCTGACTGATTGTCGTGAATAGAAACATGCCCTTCAGCCCAACTTGTTCATGCCACCAGGTTTTTAACAATTAAACTAGTCCCATTTGCCTTCATTTGGTCCATATCCGTCCATACCTATCCCATCCATGTACCGGTCTAAATGTTTCTTAAAATGACAAAATTGTACTCATTTCCACACTATCTCTGGCAGCCTGTTCCAAGCACTCACCACCCTTTATGCGAAAAAAAATTGCACCTCTGGAGTTTTTTGCAACTCTTCCCTCTCCCCTTGAACTTATACCCTCTAGTTTTAGACTCCCCTACCATAAGGAAAAGCTATCTACCTTATCTATGCCTCTCATGATTTTATAGATCCTTATAAGGTGTCCGACGCTCCAGGGCAAGAAGTCCCAGCCTATCCAACCTCTCCTTATAACTCAAACTTTCCAGTCCAGGTGGCATCCTAGTAAATCTTTTCTGCACTCTTTCTAGTTTAATAATACCCATTCTATAGTAGGGCAATGAGAACTGCATGCAGTACTTCAAACGTGGCCTCACCAACATCTTGCACAGCTGCAATAAGACATCCTAACTTCTATAAACAAAGCTCTAACTGATGAAAGCAAACACGCCAAAAGCCTTCTTCACTACCCTGTCTATCTGTGGCTCCACTTTCAACGAACTATGAACCTGTATCCCTAGATCTCTTTGATCTATAATACTGCCCAGGGCCCCACCATTGACTGTGTAAGTCCTGCCCTAGTTCGACCCACCAATTTGCAATACTTTGCATTTATCTAAATTAAATTCCACCTGCCATTCCTCAGCCCACTGGCCCAGTTGATCAAGTTGTTGCAGCATTCCCAGATAACCTTCTTCAATGTCCACTATATCACCAATCTTGGTGTCATCTGCAAATTTACTAAACATACCTCCTAAATTCTCATCCAAACCATTTATATAAATGACAAATAATAATGGACCTGGCACTGATCCTAGTGGCACATCACTAGTCACAGGCCACCAGTCTGAAAAACAACACCACCTTCTATCTTCTACCGTCAAGCCAATTTTATATCCAATTGGCTAGCTCTCCCTGGATCCTGAGAGATTTAACCTTACTCAACAACTTACCAAGTGGTACCTTGTTAAAGGTCTTGCTAAAGTCCACGTAAACAACGTCTACTGTACTGCCTTCTACTTTCTTGGTCACCCCTCTGAAAAGCTCAAATTTGTGAGACACAATGACCCATGCACAAATCCATGCCGATTATCCCAAATGACTCCTTGGCTCTCCAAATGCCTGTAAGATTCTGCCTCTCAGAAACCCCTCTAACAACTTACCCACCACAGATGTTAGGCTCACCGGTCTGTGGTTGCCAGGCATTTCCCTGTAACCTCTCTCAAATAGTGGCACAACTTCTCCCTATGTCTAGGAGCCTTAAGACTAGATGGCATAATCTCAGAGAAAGAAATTGGCCATTTAAAACAGAGATCAATCAGAATTTTTCACTGAGGGTGATGAATTTGTGGAGTTCTTCACCACAGAGCACTGACAAGGCTGTGGCCATAAGCATATTCTTAGCAATGCCTGGTGCTGTTCCTGACAGGCTCTCCTGCACTCTAAATCAAGGGAAAGATGACAGTAAAGAGACTGCTGATACAACTTGTGAAACTTTAGCATTTTCAGGGAAAAAAGAGGAGAAACTTGTAAGAAAAAGAAATAGAGGTGAAGTTAGGTCTCACAAATCGTCATCTAAAGTTCATGAAGTCTGGAAGCTTTTGTACTGCAAGAAAATGCTGATTTGCCAAAAACATTCATAACCAGATAGTAAGTTTGTTCTAGACATACTTCCAAAGACACGTGATCATTCCTTGCATACCCAAAATTTGTGCCCATGTTTGTTAATCTGCAAGACTTCTGGATGAGTCACCTTTTCCTCGCATATCTTAGAAAGCAATGATTAATGTTTCTCTAAATGGTTTCTGCTCTAGCTCATTTACAAAAGGTAAGCATGTCATACAGCCACAAAATAAAATGTTCCTCCACAATCGGGGCGTCAAGATGTGTCATGAAACAAAAGACAACTACTGTAGATGCTGGAAAAGCAAGATATAAAGAAAAGGTTGGAAGAATTCAACAGGTCAAGCAGCATCTATGGAGAAAAAGAGTTAGCATTTCAGGTCGCTGACACTGACCAGAAGCGCCATCTCTCTCTCTCTCTACAACTGAAAGCTAGTGTTTTCAAATAAACCTGATGGTTCACAGACACTGCCTGACCTGCTGGATTTCTTCCAGTCTTTTTTTTTGTTCCTTACAGATCAAACTCAACCCTACTGTGTTAAATGTGAAATCTCAAGTTAAAATATTATGTTAAAAATGTGAAAACAGAGAAGTAAAGGACAATATAGAAGGTTAAGAAAAAGCATCCTGCTTGCTACCTCCTCAAAAAATTCTGATAAATTTGTCAGGCATGATTTCCCTTTGTGAAGACATGGTAACTCTGCTTTATTAAATCTTGTATTTCTAATTTATCTGCTACTGCATCCTTTATAATAGATCTCACATTTTCGCCAACAATTCGTCCGAGGGGTGACCTGATAGAAATATGTAAAATTATGAGGGATACGGATAGGGTGGAAAGTGGGAATGTCAAATACTAGGAGGCATAGGATTAAAGTGAGAGGGGGAAGTTTAAAGGCAAAGTGCAAGGAAAGTTTTTTTAAACTGCAAAGGGTGGTAGGTCTTTGGATCATTCTGCCAGGTGAAGTGGTCAAAGCAGATACAATTGCCATGTTTAAGAAGTATTTAGACAGACATATGAACAGGCAGAGAATAGAGTGTCAAAGACAGAAGTCGCTGGAAAAGCTCAGTAGGTCTGGCAGCATTTGTGAAGAAAAATCAGAGTTAACGTTTCCAGACCAATAACCCTTCCTCAGAACGGATGGTAGCTAGTAAAATGTCAATTTATATGCGGAAGATAGGATGGGGGAGGGGGTAAAAAGTAAATTATAGGTGGGTATGGAGCCCAAGGAGAGAGAAGAACAGTTGGACATATGAAGGAGTAGATAACAATCTGGCTAGGAAAATGAATAGATGTTAATAGGAACTGTTAGTGACTAACAGTAATATGTAATGGTAGACCAACTAGACAGCCAGATCATTATCAACATCATGGAAACAGACTCTTCAGTCCAACTCATCCATACCAATCAGATTTCCCCCAAACTAAACTAGTCCCATTTGCCTGCATTTGGCCTATATCTCTCTAAACCCTTCCTTTTCCTGCACTTGTCCAAATGTCTTTTAAATTTTGTAAATATAC